GGGACCGAACACGGCAGTCACAGATGCTGATACAAGTGATCGAGCGTCTATAGAGACGCTCGATCGCTTGACTGTGTTAAGCTCCCGGCCGGCCGTGTAATTACAACGGCCGGCTGGGAGGCAGCTCGTCGGGCTCCACTGTCTGCTCGTCACGGACGAGTGGATTTTTCGAGCCCTGGTTATATATATCATATATAAGTTTTTCTTTTAAACAGACGATATAAAAGAAAAATGTATGACCTAAATACAGAAACAACCAAAACCAATAAAACAAAAGGGGGGGGGAGGGGGGAGAGGAGAGACACTCCACACCCACCATATGCACATATCGATAAAACAATATCCAGGAACTCTCATTTTGGTCAAATCACCTGGGCATAATATATAAACATTTACAATACTGATATAATTCAAAAAGAAACCGACTTGAAACTGGATTAGTCAAATTATATCTTGAGCTCACATATACGACCCTCATATGTCTAAATAATAATATGAAGAAATTCTAGAAGCAGCGCCCACACATTAAACAGCCCCGATGCTGGCGACGTACACTGTACGTCAGTCACGAAGGGGTTAATGTGTATGATAGTGTAGCCGTCTGGACCAGAGTAAAAAAAATGTATCTTCACCAATCCCTCTATATTGATAAGTAATGCATTCAAACATTACAATTTTATCCAACTCAGAAATCCATTTGGATAATGAGGGAGGGATTGGGCATATCTATTTGCTTGCCAGCAATCTCCTAGCGGTAAACAAGGCTCTTTGTATAGCCAATTTGAGGTACAAATCCTTCCAAGGGAAATCAAAAATTGCAAGTATGCAGACTCTAGATGTGTTGCGTAACAATCTAGTATACCCCAAAGTATGTAGGCGTCGTTTAGCAGTCTCCCATACATGTCCCATAAATTGAGGCAAGATGGCAAAACTTTTTAGAGGACCGGTCCGACTCCAAGGTACCCAAAGGGTCATAGCCATCAAAAAGATACTGTAAAGAACAAAACGATTGTGCATGCATCACCTCGCACCCCTAGCCAGAGAAATGTTGTAGTTGGGAGGCAAGAAAATAAAGCCAAGGATTAGGAAGCGCTAAGCCTCCCAAATCCTTAGGTCTTTGTAGAGTTACTAACTTTAATTGGGCCTGCTTTCGTTTCCAAATAAGGTCCCTGAAAATACTGTCGATTTGCCTAAATGTTTTTTTAAGGGAAACCAAATTGGGGGATTGTGCATGATATTTCACAATTGTGGCAAATTTAGATCATTTTGATAAGATTGACTCCCAGCCACTGAAAGGGGTTATTTGAGTCAGGCAACTCTTTGAGATCTAAATGTATGCAATAATTGAGAAAGATTAAGTGTGGCATAGTCTGTAAGTTGGGGAGTCATCTGAATACCAAAATAGATAATTCGGGAGCATACAGGAATACAAGACTGATCTGCTGCCAATTGGTTTGGTAAAGGGTCTATAGGAAGCAAATTGGATTTATCCCAGTTTACTAAAAGGCCGGAATATATAGCGAAGTCTGACAGATGTACCATAACACTACGCAAGGAAGACTGAGTATCTGCAAGAAAAAGCAGGGTGTCATCATATAGTACAAGTTTATCTTCCTCCACACCTCTTCTAAAACCTATGACATTTGGAGACTGTCTAATAGCAGCTAAAGGTTCAATGGCCAATGTGAACAATAAGGGAGAAAGAGGGCAACCCTGTCTGGTGCCCCTCTGTAAACAAAAGCCAGGAGAAAGAGAATTATTAATCCTAATCTTACTGGAGGGAGTATGATGTATCCAAGCACCAAATCGAGGTCCAAACCCAAATACGGATAGCATCTCCCTTTAAATATCTCCATTCAACACTATTGAATGCCTTTATATCTAATGCCAACAATGCTCTATTACCAGTATTGTCTATAGGTACTTGCATATTCAAATATGCCCTTCGTATGTTAATAGCAGTGGATTTATTAGGTAACCCTGCAGATCTTTGCATGGGTCCTGAATTTCCATAAGTCACTGCTGGAACCCTCTCATTGCTTTGAATACATGGGCCTAGTCTTGGACATGGCCCTGTCCAGGGTCTTTCTTCCTCTGTAGAAGATCTATCTCTCTGCCCTCATACTCGGTCCCTGCAGTACAAGAGTCGCCCGACTGTTTGCTTTTGCATGAAGGTGCTGGATTTAATAGTGGCCCTCTTCAATGCAGTTACCTATGTGCAATTAAATTTCAGGTTCATACAGTGCAGTATTCTGGCTGCATGTGACAAACAGGTCTAGTCCTATTAGCTCCCCATTGGCTTGTCGAACAAGGCCTAGTTTGCCCTGGCTTGTATTTCTTATGGTATTGGAATTGGGAAATCCTTCCTCCCAATCTGGAAGATGCTTTCAACTGATGCCAGCTTTTGAGGCTGTGAAACAGTCCCTGACAACCTCTTGGTTCAAGGAACCAGGCTGTCGTGGGAATCTCAACTCCCTATCAACATCCTGGAGTTCAGTTTAATTTTTGTTGTCCCCTGAATGTTCATTGATGCTTGATCCCCCAAATATACGGCCACCCAGCCGGGACAGTACCACATCCATGGCTTACATCAACTGTCAGGAAGGCACCAGAAGCTGTGCAACTCAAAGATCAGTGCACTTGACGCTTATTTCACTTGGTGCAATGCAAGGAGGTTTTAACCCAGGAAGTTTCTGTGGGATGCTTCTCATCTTTCCTCCAGTTTAGACCACTGTTAACCTTGAGTACTATCAAGGGCCGAAATCCTGCAATTCTTTTCCAGAGGCTGCTTGCCCCTTAATCTCGGTTGAAGGCATTTCTGCAGAGGGTTACTTGAGTAGGCGCTCCTTTCATCCTAAGGTGCCTTCCACCTTAACCAGGGCATCATCCTACCATGTGTCCTGCTACTAAAAATCATAATGAGAGGTTGTTCTCCACTGTTTGGATGTAGTCTGGGTTTACATTTCTACTAGTCTTACTCCCTCTGTCATTCCTGAGGGCCTCCATATGGGGCAGTCAGCTTTTTGCTCCACTATTTCTAGGTGGATTTGGCAAATTATCGCAGGCCTGTGGGTTTATGGGTAAATTTCCCCCATTTCTGGGAATGACCTATTCTACTAGGAGTGTTAGTGGTATGGCTGTTGTAAGGCTCTTTGGGCCTTACAACAGTGGTATCCCAAATCTGTAAGGCTGTCGCCTGGTCTTCTGTCCAAATTTTCCAAAGTTTACCAGGTTCACTTTAAAGCCTCTGTGGATGGAAGCTGCAGCTGCAAGTTTTTCCAGGTGGCTCTTGTGTGCCTCTTGCGTGGTCTTTGGTGGGCTTTGTTTTCACAGGCCTATTAGCTGCCATTTGCTGTTTATGCTGCTTACCTGTTCTGCCTTCAGGTGTCCCATCCATTCAAGAATAAACTCCCTGTGTCTAGTGTTCAGAAAAAAAGGACTTTTGACCTGTAAAATCCATTTTGAATGAATGACAGAGGCACACTGAGCCTCCATTCACGCATATAGTTTGTGGTACCTGCGTGGTTTTCCACGCAAAAATATTTTACAACTGCATGGATTCCTCTCGTTTGAGGATATTACTATAGCCACGACTGTGCGGAATCCACCGAAAAAGCTTGCTTGTACAATTTTGCAGGACGTGTGCTTTTGTATCGCGCAGCCTCCGCAAAAGTCTGAACAATGCATGTTAAAGTGCATTGTTTTTTATGTTTAGAGTGGTGTCCATTACCTTCAAGGTAGCTGCATAACCTATCCATTCAGCAGTTTACTCGCCATGTTCAGCAATGTACCACAAGAAACGACTTTAACCAGTAAGACAAACATCCAAGTTGCACCTGTAGTTTGACATAAAAAAAAATGAAAAAAAAAAAAATCACATTGTTATTATTGTTTCCCCCCCAGTCTAAAACCCCTTAAAATGTGATGGAGTGTGCTGCACAATTCTACATTTTAATTCTCAATTTTATTTCTTTTTTGGTAGGTTTTAATGATGATTCATCTGGTTCTGGAAGAGGACGGAGGGGTGGTAGAGGAGGTTCTGCATTTTCTGGTATGTTTTCCAAAGGAAATGCATTACATTTAGGAACTGCGTTCTCAGTGATTTACTATTTTACACATTTACCTAACTAGCAAGGAAATGCAGCTAGTATTGTACCTCATTAACCATCTCAGGGATCACCGCTATCATGGCATTGTGCTTAATGACATTATAGGCAATACCTACCTGGTCCCTGCCCCCTCCTGTATTTTTTTGCAGGCAGTCTGTAGTGGATGAGGCCAACTATGTCTCTCCTACAGCTCTGCATGAGCTATGGTACAGCACAATGTCACCACTACTTTTACAAAGTAATATCTGGTTTCGCAAAGGTATTTGATGGCTATAAAGTGAATTTATATCTACTGTCTGTGTTAGCACTTTGCAGGCCCCTATGTCAGTGAGATTTTGGAACAAATGTCTGGAGCCTTGTGCTTCAGCAATGACTATTTGTTGCTGACATCCAAACTTTTGCGTGGACCTGAGTTCTGTGCAATTCCGTAGAGCACTCTGCATGCTGTGGATGCTGTTCCTTCAAAAGAGCTTTGTTGCAGTTTGAGAGATGTCTATCCTTTGGACCTGCTCTTGATACTGTTGCCAATGCAACTGTTACCCAGGAAACACTTCTGCCTTAATGTAGGTGGTCTGTGGAAGGGTTAGAGCAATCTTGCCCTGCAATTCAGAACCTGCCGCACGTGGGGACCTTTAAAAAAATGTTTTTGCATTTTAAAAATGTTTTTGGTTTTTTAAATACTTATGCTTTTGCAATAACTTAGGGGGCTAACAAGCACCCTATGTAATAGCAGGGTGTGACAGGTCCTCTTTATGGAGACATCGGAGGTCTTTCAGACCCCTAATGTCACCTAGGGACCCCAAAGAAGCTGAGGAAGCAGAGATCTGCTTCCCCAGCTTCTTCTCCTGGCTCTAAGAGCTGGAGACTGTAAGCAGTGACACCGGAAGTGGTGTAATACACCACTTCCGGGTCCAGTAATCAGAGGAGAGATCAGCGGCTGGAAGGTTCAAACGATCTAGCGGCTATACAGCCGCCGGATCGCTTGTACATTCACTGCCATCGCTGGCTGTTAAAAATGACACCAAGAACATGGCTGCTGCAGCAGCCATGTTATTGGTTTAACCACTTCTGGAGGCCGCCGTCTATAGACGTATTGTGGCCCGGAAGTGGTTAATGCGGACCTTTACACTCAAAAAATTCTACCAATGCATCCCTCTATGTATGATTATTAACATAGACCTGTTAGGTATAAAATGCTGTGATTGTGAATTACACTTGCAGAGCATTCACTTCCTGCTTTGAAAGGGCAAAATGGCTTCAGTTTGCCAAAGCATTGCACACTGGTATTGCCTTATCAGCAGAGCATTGCTGGGAAATCTCATCCGTAGTCTCACGAGATCTCAGGGAAAGGCATTCTCCTCCCGTGAGATTATGTACATGGTCACATGTCCGAGTCACACGTGCCAGAAATCCAGGTAGGCAAAGGAGAGCTAGTAATCTGCCTTTTGTAAAGATGGCCAATTTCAGATGAGTGTGGAAGAAAAGAGAAATAAGGTGTGCAAAGAATACAACACCGGCAATGATCTAGAAGTATGTGTTTGTAGATTGTCATTACTAAATATTTCTAAAGGTGTGTTTTTTGTTATTGTAAAGATATGGGTAAAGATCCACTTTATGTACATACATATTCTTAGTATATATACCAGGTATCTATCTACCAGTAGCTGCCTCATTTCCCACCCTCGGCTTACACTAGTCAATATTTTTTCCCAGTTTTTTGTGGTAAAATGAGGTACCTCGGCTTATATTTGGGACGGCTTATACTCGAGTATATACGGTACCTTATTAATGTATCACCCCGGGGTCCTAACTTATGAAGAGTGAATTTTGCAACAGATTTTTGTTGGTAGGGGTAAGATACCGGTCATTTCCTTATCAGATCAGGCGATCTTTAGGAGATTAGCTGAGCTGTCTAGTGGAATCGAATTGATCTGCTAGTTGGTCATTGGATTAGGGTTTTATTATACCCGCCATAATGGCATTAGCAGCCAGGCCTGGAATAACAAGTAAATATTTTATAATGGGTGTTATAAACGACCATTAGCAGCCAGGACAAGCTGTGGAATGTGAGGAATTCTCTTTTCGAGATCTTTAAACAATCAAATACATGGATGTTCCACCTGTGTGTCGGTGCACTCTACAGCCTTCTGTTGGATGCTTCCTGAGTGCTACAGGACCTTCCCCATTGGGACGGTTTTGGGGCTTTCCCATAATGGTGTTGAATGTGTCCCTATTGACCACACTGGTTTTAGTGGTGCCCAGTTTTGCCTTCTGTATTAAGTCTCCTGGTGATTTCCCCTGAAGTATGAGGTTTCAGCACCTGTGTGCTCCTCCCTTCCTGCTTGGCAGGAAGTTTCCTTTGCCTCTAGGAGAAATGGACTCTTGGCAAACAGCCTGTCACTTTCAGGATATAACCCTCCCACCTGCTGATTTCATTTAGTGTCCTCAGGAGAATGGATTTGTCCGTCTCTTCGCTTTTTGTTGTTGAAGATTCTAGCAAGAGCTGCTAGTTGATTCATATTGGATATTTAGTAAATCCTCGGAGTCTCTAGCCGACTAAACTGAGTCACACCATATAAGTAAAATCTTTGGAGTGTCTCTAGGTGTCCTGAAGTAGGTCGTTTATGGTCATTCTGCGGTGGTCCTGTGGTCCTGTTTCATCATTGATTGAGGCTGTGCGTTCCTTTTTAAAAGTAGAGGATTCTGCTGCAATTTCTAGTCTAGGTTCACATAAACCTGAGCGGGTCTGCAAGGTTTTTCCCCTCAACCTATTTTTCATAGGCTTTTTTTCTATATAAGAATTAGGCAATTTCAGATGAGCATATTCTGGTTCCTAGATGCTTTAAGTCCCTGTATCCCTTTCCAGATTTTGTTTTGAAAAACAAAAAACTGGTTTAGCTTTGCAACCATTAACTACATTCCTTATTTCCCAAACTCACAAAAAGTACAGAATAGGCAACTGCTGGACTTGATCCACATTTTATTAATTTTATGGATTAGATGACTGCAGCTTCTCATGTTACATGCGATGCGTTTCTTAATGCTTGTAATTTCTTTTCCACTCGGATATACAGAGCTATCTGGTTCGAGGGCTTGTTCTCACCATAAACAGTGCATTCCAGAGTGGTCAGCTGCTGGAACGCACTATTTTTTCAGACCAGAACGCAGATAACTAACAGGGCGGTCTTTTACATTGATTGAACCCCCGAGCAAACATTTTCTTGGGCCCCCCGCATCCTACCTGCCACACCCATTCATGAAAGTTGCCGCTATATGATAGCGCAGAGCCACGCTGCAGCTGGGATTGATCCAAAGATATTGTCCAGATCCACCAACCCACCTCTAGAGGCTGTGCCCGCCCCCTCGCCCATCCGTTCCTCACTGCGGAAAGACGTGACTGACAGTCACGGCCCTCTGCAGAGAGAGTGAGTGCAGGAACTGGAGTGATGAGCAGTACGTGATCGCTCAGTTCTCGATCAATAGTGCCGACCTGTGACTGCTTCAGTAACTAGGGGGAAGAGCGCATTTCACTCCCCATAATTCTCCTTTCATGGTAAATGTGTGGATAATTTTCCACCTACCACTTTCCCTGCATAGAATAATCATAATAAAATGACACCAGGGGACATGCTCAGGTGTTTATATGATGACACCAGGGGACAACATCATATGACACCAGGGGACAACATCATAATATAATAATGACCCCAGAGGACGACCATCATATAATAATGACCCCAGAGGACGACCATCATATAATAATGACCCCAGAGGACGACCATCATATAATAATGACCCCAGAGGACGACCATCATATAATAATGACTCCAGGGGACATCATCATATAATAATGACAATCATCATATAATAATGACAATCATCATATAATAATGACTCCAGGGGACATCATCATCATATCATAATGACCCCAGGGGAAGATAATGACCCCAGGGGACATGATCGTATGATAATGACCCCAGGGGACATGATCGTATGATAATGACCCCAGGGGACATCATCGTATGATAATGACCCCAGGGGACATCATCGTATGATAATGACCCCAGGGGACATCATCGTATGATAATGACCCCAGGGGACATCATCGTATGATAATGACCCCAGGGGACATCATCGTATGATAATGACCCCAGGGGACATCATCGTATGATAATGACCCCAGGGGACATCATCGTATAATAATGACCCCAGGGGACATCATCGTATAATAATGACCCCAGGGGACATCAGATAATGACTCCAGGGGACCTCCATCATCATCATATCATAATGACCCCATAGGACGACCATCATCATATAATAATGACCCCAGGGGACATAGTTACATAGTATTTGAGGTTGAATAAAGACATAGGTCCATCAAGTCCAACCTATTGTGTGTGTGCATTTAGGAGTTGATGTGTGCGTGTATGAGTCCATGCGTGATTTTTCTGTTAGCTATACCTGTACCCCTGAATGTTCTGGTCACCCAGGAACTTGTCCTGCGGCAGCGAGTTCCAGACCTTAACCGCTCTTAACTGTGAAGAACACCTTGCGCCCTGTGTTTAAATTTTTTTTCCACCAATTTTAGGTTGTGCCCTCTGATTTTTGTTACAGAGCTGACAGTAAACAGTTTGTTACTGAGGTTGCTGTCACCCTTGAGTAGTTTATACATGAAAATCATGTCCCCCCTTAATCTCCTAACCTCCAACGAGAACATATTAAATTTTAACAACCTTGTTTCATAGTTCAGATCCTCGAACCCCTTAATTAGTTTGGTTGCCCTCTTCTGGACTTTTTCCAGCTCAAGGACATCTTTTCTTAGTATTGGTGACCAAAACTGGACCGCATACTCAGATGTGGCCGAACCAGGGATCTATAAAGAGGCAAAATTATAGACTTGTCCCTGCAATACATCCACTTCTTAATGCAAGACAGGAGT